GACGAGGAGAGCGTAGGCCACGATCCTGAAAACCGATATTACGGAGATATCGAGCGCTTCCGTGTCCAGGGCCGTAATTATACAACGGCGAACCGATGTACCCCATCGTGGTATTCGCATTATCGCCATATTACAGGGGGCGGACGTGTAAGTTGGAGCGAACAGATGCTTGACCGTCGATATCAAAGTGGCGCGAGCGTCGAGCGGAGGTGACGTTCGAAGAAGCTGGCAAAATCGAGCTGGTAAATAGCAACGATCGATCGATGTGGTTCCTTCGGGAACCGAGGGCTCCTCCGTGTTCGTTGCACGACCGTGATTTCTCGGATCGAATTCAAGCCGTACCCGAGGTTTTCATTACGTTCGACCGAACGCAGATTCGACTTCGCACGAACATGATACAGGTAAACAGCGGATTTTCATATGCGCGAATCTATTGATCATTTCGCACGATATTTTATGGAAATTCATTGATCACACAAATCCTTGGTTTAAGTCGTAATAACACGAAGCATTCGTAGAAAGGATGAATTGAAATTAAATTGATTTGCTATCGGAGTGAACGCGGAATAGTAGCAAGGTTAAAACGAGCAACGCAAGAACGATGCAGCTAATAAATTAATCGCTAATTATTTGCCGAATGAAAAAGTAATTACTGTCGCAACACGCGCATACTTATAACCGGCGGAACAGATGTTACCGCGTAGAAAGTTGACCTGTTCGACGTGTTTCGCCGCCGCTGACAAATAACGGAAGGATCGAAATCGATGCGTTCCCGGTGAATTTAACGAGCAACGCTGCTCATTAACAAACGAACCTGAAAAAAAACCCCGATCCTTTTACGTAACCAATTATTCCTAAAGCTTTGCTCATAGTCAACGCGTCGGTGAAACTATCTTACATTGTCTATTATTCAAAAAACAAGGCCACTAATGGCAGTTAACGTGTTAATTAATATCATTAGCGCGGTTAACTCGAAAAGTACAGAACGCATCCTACGCGTGTATCTAGCATTTACAAGGCACAGGTTGCACACCGGCATATCATTAACATCGTATTAACTAGATCCGTGTTAACACCTTGCTTCGCCCCTTACGCATCAAGTTTTACAGAGGAGCTTCTCTAGATTCCCTTCTTTATTTTTTATTCTTCTTTGCCACATCGTTGGTTCTCGGTGCCGGTGCCGCCTTCTCTATCTTATCGCTAAACCACTACTACTCGTTTTCATCGGTATTTTTTGCCGCCGCTTTGGGAAACATAAATCGCCTGAATATCTGCCAACAACTTCGTTATCCTTCTAAGCGAAACTTGATACGTGTATTTACGAGCTGGAAGTAGAGAACGAGTTCGTTCATTTTTTTTTTTCTCTCGTTGTTGTTGTTGTCCTTCTTCAAGCACGCATCGCGTGCGTATTCTCATTGTTCTCGATAAAAAACTATAATCGAGCGCCGTCAGGCGTGAAAGCACAACAGGTTTTTTTTTCTCTCCTCTTTCCGGCGCATTGTCATTCGAGTTTATCTTACGGCCGGCGCCTTATTCGGAGAAATTTCGGTTACTGAATGAAGCGAACGGTACACGCGTTACCGAACGACAGATTCATTCATTCGACGTTGAATCGTTACGACCGAATGGAGAGTGCGTACGCGTTACGAGTTAACAGTGGATGACGCCGCGCCGCGTCGTGCCGTATTCTATAAATATTATTAACATTAATTTGATTCGTTACTCGTAAAGAAAAATTCAGAAATGGAAGTTCGTACACGTAACTGCCAGTCAATCGCTAAAACTAAATAAATCATTCGTTGACCACTGCTCGTTTCGATGCAGTTTAATAAAATTTCCATTTTATCGTGATTCTTTGCTACAATAATTCAGCTCAATATCGTGTGTACCTTTATCTATCAACAGCCGAAAACATTGTGTACAATTGACGGATTTATTCTTGGCAAAAGGTTCAATGTAATAATATCTTTAAGATTCAACAACAGTTTCCAATACGAACGAATTAATAATTTGGAGCTAAAGACAAAATTTCTTAAGTGTTACGAATTTGAAAATTTCACTCTACATGTATGTTTGTTATTTCTAGCAGTCTTTACGAGAGAATAAATCTTGGACTTCTTATTTTTATCTAAACGCGGCGCTCGATAAAAGTAGAAGCGAAAAGAAAGTGACAGGACTTCATAAAACGGTACTTAAACACACTCGCGACACTTTCATCCGGTTTTCTTAATTAAACTTGCCATTATAAAGCGTGTTTTCAATCGGACGACGATAAACATAGATTCTTTTTTCCTTTGACGAGGAAAAACTAAATGTCCCTGTCGTTTAACGCGCAATAACATCGGGATGAATACGAAAAAAAAGGAACGGTATAACAAGCGGTATTACTACTGGATTCTCTCTCTTTGCTGATGGTAAATATATTAACTGCCTAATCTGTAATCGGAAATTTTACGATTCGAACGGCCATAGGCCGCGACTCGCGCTATTATAAATTTACGTAAGTAGGCTATAAACTCCAATTATCGTTACTCGCATTTCCGTGGCAATGATCCGCGTAAAATATTTATTATCCTGCACGACGGGAATCGGCGACGCGATCGTAAAACATTCTTGGACACAGCTACGTGTGCTTTACTCGCTACGATCAATGTTTTCATTATTCCCACCTTGTAATTAATAATTTTGATTCTAATTGCCGTCGAAGGATATTAATTTTCTATTTCAAATCGTAAATAAAGTTAACCTGACAATCGAAATAAATGAAACGATTCGTGTGAGAAACACAAGTAGCAAGGGGGTTAAACATCTGAAAGTTCGAGCAACGTTTAATCAGCAATGGAAAGAAAAGAAAAGAGAAAAGGGAAAGGGTATAACAAGCCGTTTTATCATCCGGTTAATCAAAGTTGAGCCCGTGCTTTAGAGAGGCGCATTAAAAGGAACAATGCGACGCGATGCAGCTTCGCCGATGCAACTCGCACCTTTCTCGCGGGCCCATGCGGGTTACAAACCTACCCGTATTATTACCTAGCCTCGCGCCGTTGCACCTGCGCGTAAAACGCGTCGTTTGCTCGGATGCTGTTATTCGCTTTCCGTTCATTCCTTTTTTCGGCAACGGAGCATCGCACGCCTGCGCCCCGCTGCCGAATCTCCTCGCCGCCCAAACGCTGGCACCCGATCGTAAATCAGAATTTCATTTTACCCTTTGCCACCGATACCCTTTGCCCTTCTGACCGGAAAATTTACAAGAGACAAAACTGGGTTACCAAACGTACGCGTATAGTGAAAGCTGTATGATTCATTAACACATTGATGACCGGAAGGACATTTATTCATAGATCGATCCGAAGTTAATTTATCATTGAGCGAATAGCAATTAACAACCGTTTAATCGACAATGATTTATTTGCAACTCGATGAAAATATTAAATTTTTCACTTTAATAAATACGAATTTGTTGGAATGGATTGTTCTATTAATAATAGCAAATTATTGAGGTATAATGAGGTGTAGAATGGTGAGAAGTTCCAAGCGTCTATAAAGGAATTCCCTAGCTAGCTATAGGGTCACAGTTTGAGAAGTACCTATAGATGAAATATCTGTACGCGCAGAGAGCAAAGGAATTTTAATCGCTTCGTAATTAATTTAACTCGCCACCTTGGCGCACGATAAATCTTCTCGATACCTACTGACCGGAGGTGTCCGGTATAACTGTTTATAAACATTACTACGGCAAGCATCGATCACAAAGGGATTAAAGCCAGTCCCTTGTTCAGGTAAAATTACTAGAGGACCCTACGTTACCCTATTAACGATCCTTTCAAATTCGCTAATTAAGGAATGTCAATGGATAACTCCATTTAACCTTTTACAACCATAAACACGAAGTTGTCTTAAGCAATTATATTCGCATTGGGGTAAACAAAGAAAATTAAGTACGATCTGTTTATTTTTGAATGAAACTCTATTCTGGTTTAACCATTGACGGGTCAATTATGACCTAGACTTATTTGTGGCTATTTAAGAGATTCTCTATTTCAAGATTAATCAACAATTATTATTAAAGATTTTCTTTAGTTTTTAAATAGTATAATAGTAGCAAGCGACGGCCGTCGGTGGACACTTAAAAGGAACAGGTGCATCTGTACTACATCATCCATTTCCCTTCACAAAATCTCACTTTATTGGTGAAATATTAATGGAAATCAATTTTCATCGAACGTACCGTGTAAACGTCGAACGTTTTATTACCATCGTATGAATGATTTGCGTATTAATTGTCAGATGTGTGTATGGGATGGTGAGCTCAATACTGCACGCGATGCTGCAGTTTTGTAGCTTTTTAATGAAAATTGCTGCGTCAAAGAGTCTGTGAGAAAAAACGAGCCTACTTTGAACCGAGTAAATGAATGATCTCGTGGCGTGTAGTCTAATAAGAGGCGTAGGGTTTAATTAGCGGTTGTCTGTCTCACAATGCGCTCGCTTTCGCGAATAAAAAAAAAGGGGAAGAATGAGGAATAATCGGCTGGTGGTGATTAGCAATGATTCTGAAATTGCAACCCGGTAAACGACCATCATTAAACGAGTAATTAAGGTACGATTTTGCAGACAATGGAACTATACCGTTATGTACCCGTCCTCCACCTCCTCTTTAATGCTAATTATTAGTGCTTGTCAAGAGAGTTTGATTGAAAAAGCAGCGTGTTGTACTTGTAAAAGTTTACAGCACGATTCTAGACGATTTTATTAAATTATTAACTAAAATTCAGGAACTTGTTAAGTTATCATAAACATTACGAGAAATTGGTGATTTCAATGGCGTTACTATTATTGAAAATTATTACTTATTGCTCCTATCTACTTAAATAAATAATTTTCGGGTTCGTGAGTTATGGCTACGGGTATTCGAAACATACGGGAAAACAATTGATCGCGATGAGGATTAATGTAATTGAATCGTGGAATCTGTTCGAGTAACTGATTTAGAATTTACGACTCACCTGGGACGCCGACGGATACGAGTATCCGAACTGCGCGTACGCTGACATCTCAGCCGGGTTCGACGGGCGTTGACGATCAATTCTATATCTCTCCGTTTCTCTTTCTAACGACCCCTGTCTCTATTTATTTCGATGTCTCTCGCGGCTAACGAAGAATTAGGTCACAACCGCACCTGCACGCACTACTACAACACTGTTTGATCACTAAGTCAGTACCGGTGTCGTCGGGGAGCTGATGCAAGAGGCGAAGGTGGTAACTAGCCGACAGGCGACGTACGAACGCGACAGTTCGCGAACGGAGATTGCCATCAGGGTGTTTTGGAGTCCGAATCGGGACATCCGAGTAGCGAGCACATGTCAGCGAAGCAGCGTCAGCTCGCAATCGCCGACGGAACGTGGAGGATCAACAAACACAGTCCTCGAAGGTGTTTCACACAGGTGGATATCCAACGAAGGCACGAACAAACGGAACCCGAGACACCTAAGCGACGAAAAAACTTCTACACTGGTACAGAATCGTGGTGGATGAAGATTCTCACCGGGGTCCGCGATACGCGTCACAACTCGGCTCACGTCACCGGGAGAAAAAGGGAACGGTAAATCGAGGAACGTTGTCTAAGCACGGCGTCGGGCGATGGGACGGACATTCGGACAGACGACGAAGCGTCACGAGCGATTAGTTATAGAGTTCGTTCCGTTCGTTCGGTCCGTCCCCTGCTCTCACAGGGCACTCCAGTCTGCGACTGACTCGCCACCACTCACACCACTTCATCGGCCTTCCGCTCCGCTCCGTCCCAGTTCCCCCTCTGGCGAGGAAAACCGAAAGCAACCTCCGTGACCCCCCACTCCGACCACGTGGGACGTGGCGCTCGCGCAACCGGCCAATCCCCAGCCTCGGCTCAACCTTTCGGGCGTGTCACGTGGGTCGTAACGAGCGACCGGATTCGTCCGCCGTTTGGCGCGCGGGCGTCCTTTCGAATCGAACGTGCCCACGAGCTAAAACGACGCCTTTCGCCGCCCCACCCGGCGCGAATCTACCGTGAAACGATCCCGCCGACTACGCTGCCGTTTCCCCGCCGCGGCTCGACAAACGGCCACGACGGAACAAGGAGAAACGAGTATGTTTACGCGAGTCTACTCTTGTCAACCCGACGGCGAGGGACTTGAATAAATCTGCCCTGCCAGCCTCTCCCTCCAAGCCGTTCTCTATCTTTTCTTACCCTACCCCTCGACGAGCCACCTTCTTCCGGCTTATATCGCGCCATTGTCCGGCTCGTGAAATCGCCGAGTACTACGATGCGTCCCTGCCGCCTGTTTCCACGCTTCTCGAGCTCGGAACTTTGTTACGGCTACGTGACGCGAACGACCAAAACGTTCCAGTTCCAACGGGGACAGCCTCGACAGTTTTGCAACGCGTCGAGACGTTCGTTGACGGGTGATTTTTCAAATTTCTACGAAACGTCTACGAGACTTCGAAGTCTCGGTCAATTTGCTTCGCGGAATGTTTCAAATAAACCTAACTTTGTCACGCTTTCGTAAAGCTTGCGGTTTTTTAAAAAACACCCCAACCGCGAAACGGAGTCATTTGATTGTTCAATTATTTCGAGTAGCGTACGAGTCGGTTCGATCTAAAACGAATCGAATATTCTGGGACGAAGAATCTCACGGACGAAAGATGTCGGAAGGATTAGCCACGGGAAACGCTCGGTTACCGTGCCGTTTAGAACAATTTCACGGGTTATTAGACGGTGGCTAAGACCGTTCCTCGAGAAGAAGTATTTATCCGGCAAATTAGAGTGTCGGGGATTAGCAGCGACGTGCTTTCGGAACACGAGTTTTCTTGGCATAATTTGCAAACCTGATCACCTTAGTTTGTAAGGTAAATTTGAAAAAATTTACACGTTGAAGATTCAAACGCGTACGGAGTGGAGAAACGTGAGCGTGCAACGAAAGAATTCGCAGAAGAAATTGTAAAAATAGTAGTTGCGTGGCAACGCAAGATTCAGTGTCGCTAATAGGATTAGCTGACAGGTCGACGAGGTCTCTCCTTGGGAGATAAGGATCCTTGCCAAGGACCTCGGTACCTGAGAGGCCAAGGATCGTCCAGGAGGAGAAACAGAGGGGTCACGGTGGGCCCTTCGAATGATTTATTACGCTGCGTAAACCTAGTGACCTGCCGATCACGCCCCTTCGACGAACAGTCGCCGACATAATGTACACGCTTTGAGAAAACTCGGCTCCCGTCTCGTTTGCCACTCGTCTCGTGCCACGACTACCTTTTCAACGAGTCACCGCGACCCGTCAAAACCACACAATAACCCGTTTAATCCCGATCCACCTTCGCTCGCGCGACGTTCACCTTTGTTTACCGTGCCGCCGCAAAAGGGAGGCTTTCTTCTTTGTCCGTTCGATGTCTTGTTTGCTAGGCAAATATTTTGGAGGACATATCACCGAGACCCGTTAAATATCGATACGTATATAATTAACCTTCTAATCAATAAAGACGCGTTGTAAATCTTGGGTAGCACCGTTTGGAGGGTAGTTGCAGCATCGTTTCGTGTTTACAGCCGTCAAGTTTTTCAACGTTGATAAGAGGGAAAGGTTGGTAGAGTGGCGAAGGCCTATCTGGCTGGCCAGTGTGTCCACTACTTGTTTGCAGGTCGAGTAAAAGTTAAACGGCCGTGTCAGGCCAGGCTGTCTCTAGCGATAAGACCGCTTAATAAGGCAGCAAACCATCCACCTTCCTTACTACTCGTTCATCTCACCCGTGTCCCTCTTTGACCGTTCTTTCTTTGTTTTACCCTCGACCCAGTTAGGTAAGGTTTTCTCCCTTCTTATCTCACCTTCCGTTCCCAGGTTCTTGTAATTCGTTACTCTCCCAGCCACGACGAGCGTTCGGCCCCGGCCTAACGAGGGAAAGATTTCAACTACCTAATTCGAGACGAAAGAAGGAAATCAGGAGGACGCGAGGGCCGTAAACTGTCCTGCCAACACGGAATTACGAGCTCTTCTCTCTTTTACCTTCTGCTCCCTTTCCTTGTGGTTAGGTAGGGTGAGGATGCTCTCGAATTTCTGCTCGACGAGGACAAACTTGAAAGCAACGAATCAACTTTCTTCCCCATTTTTTAATCGACGCTCGACCAACGTTTCGCCGACTTTAAAAGCTCTCGAGGATCTTGAGAAAACTTGGGGGGGTGTTTGAAAGGTGGAGGCAGCGGTATCGTGGTGCCGGAATCACAAAGGCACGGGTCTAATCTGGACGCCGTAAAACGGTGCGATATTCACACCGTAGGATAAAACAAAAGGTTGTTGCGGGGACCTTAGGTGGACGGTAAAAGTCGAAAGAGGGGGAGCTAATAAGGGAGGTCCAGACTGCCCTGGCGCCTTCGGTGCACCTTCGAGGGGCACTGCAGTTTTATTGGCCGGTGTGTCCTTGTTCTTCGTCCTCTTCTTCTTCTTCTTCTTCTGTACTGTTCCTCTGCGGCGACTTCGTCTTCCTTCTCGGCACTCGGTATGGCCGACCAGTATGTTGCCGTAAAAAAGCCGGTCTCCCCTTGTCTGTCCTCCACCTTACCCTCCCCGTCTCCTCCTATACGGCTGGAACGACGAACGAACGAACGACCAACGAAATGTCAACCGTAAACCTCGCGAAGCAACACTAATTAACCCGACCGAAATAAACTGCGCCGCTCAGCGCCGCTCGCTCTCTTGCCTTCTCCTTCGCCCCGACCCTCTTTCTTCTTCGCCCCGCCGTTCTTTCCTCTCGCCTCAAAGACTTTACTCTGCGCCCAGCCTCAAAAAGAATCTCCCAGCGGCTCCGAATCGTTCGCCACTGGACCCGTGCTTAGAATTCAAACACAAGAATTTCCGAGCCGACCTGTTTTTTACGCCCGAAATCAAGGGTAGAAGAAGCTGCGAGGGTAACACACGCCGCATGGCCCAATTCATTTTTCGGATGAAAATAGTAACTAGAATTGGCACGCTTGATCTCCGCGTACGTATAGTCAGGAACCGTTTTCCTCGAAAAAAAAAAGAACGGCTCCCTTCGGTTTTTGCACCGTTATATTCCCTCGGTGAATGTTAGCCGAAACAGTCGAAACTGCGGGGTTTCGCCTATACCGCCCGCTGCCACGCATTTCCATTTTACCCCGAAGACGAAGGGCGTCGCGATATACCTCTCCCCATACTTTATGCCGAGACACCTACATCGACGAGCACGGATATATCTCGGAACTTTATTTATAAACAAAGAGGACAGCCGATAACTCCGGAGATTGCGGAGGAGACATTCTCCCTACGGTTTCTGCTTCAGCTGGCAGCAGCTAGCTTTCCTAGAAGCAACATCGACCACGGAGCTCCGCTTGAAAAATAGTCGCCCCGAGCACAGAGCTTTGGCTCGTGCTCCACCATACGTCGATCGATCATTGTCGCGAACAATTTTTCTTTTCGCTAATTAGCCGTCCTTCGTCTCGGTATTAGCAAAGAATGTGTGCGTGCCGTTGAAACGATGGAAAAATGTGTCGCGTTCAATTCATACACCGAAAATGAGAAATTTTCAGAGAATGTGAAAATAACGTTACATTTGAAATTCTGCAAATTAATGTTCTCTTTCATTAAAATTTCTACGAAATTTTCAAGCGTGTTTCAAGATCGATCCGTTCCGATGATCGCGATACAGAATACAGCAGCACGAAACGCGTATTATTATAACGACAGGAAATGCTCGATTCGCACAATCGAACGACGGAGTCGCACGCCGCCGGTTATACGATTTCGCAACAACTCGGTTCGTTATCCCGCGTTTTCATTGAAAGCAGCAACGTTTCTCTATCCTCCGATTCACAGGAAAAACAAACACGCGGCTTGTTCTGGTAACAAAAGCCGTTTCGCGATTCCGTTCGGTCGCCTTGCTCTCGATGCAACGCGAAAATACCGTCCGTCTCTTGTCGACTAATTACCAGCTCGCTTTCATAAGCGTGCGTTTACAAATACCGCGTGCACACGTTACAAGACACTCGCGATACGCACGCTACCGTTCGCTGAAATTCGCGTGAAACATCCGAGCTAGTGGCGTGCACGGAAAACGATGCACAGCGAGCGAAAAGGAAGAGAACGCGGGGGGATTACAAGTTCATTACGAGGGTTATTATGAATTGTTTTGTACTGATTATCGTGCGATTGTATCCCTTTGATGCAATAAAGAAAATTGTTTCATAACCATTATTTTCCGATTCTCCCTTTTTTTCTAAGTTTAATCCCATCGTAATCTTAAAAGGTTTGCAGTATAATTATCGAGATGATTGTTTGGAAAATACACAGAGGAAAGTATCGTACATCTCGTGCACGCACAATCGACGACAGGTGGTGCGAATACAGAGTTCTCTACTCTCGGACCTGTTCGTCCTCTATCTGCAATCAGGTGCAAAGCAGCTCACAAGCAACGCGCGCCTCGATGTTACGTGCCCATAGGAAATGAATAGGTAATTATAACGCATCCATAATGCAGGGAGACAAGGCCATGGCGGTTGCTTGCAGCCTCGCTTCTCGGAAATGGCTCTCGTAGAAGAGGATCGCCTCTCGCAAACTAGACTCGCAACCTACGCGCCTCGGACGAAGCGGAGAACGAAATCGCGAAGGCTCGTTTACATTCATTCGCGTCTATTTTCATTCTGTTCTTCTTATTGTACGTTTAGGTTGGACGGTACCGTCGAAGATCGCGTATGCACCGCGCTTTTATAATTGGACTTTATTAGCTGTCCTGGCAATTAGAATCGTCGTGGATCTTTTGCGAAATT